TATCATTCTGGAATTAATTGTGATTTTATTTTTTCATGTAGAAAGACAAATCTTAATTTGTTACAGGGCAACAGAGCTCATGACTCAAGAGTTGGTTCATCATGACTATAAATACTCAGCCCTGAAACAAACAGCCCATGTTCCTTTTCATGTACTTGAATAACCAGTGCCAACTTTACAAGAGAAATGCTATCAGATCTTTTTTTGGGTCATTTTTGCCCTCAAATGTCTTGTAAGGTTTTTTTTTTTAATTTAAGTCATAGGAAAACAATATTGTGCATCATGCTTTTAGAGAAACTGTTTTCAGTAGTCTGTGCACATTCCCTATATATAAGTAGTTGAAATTATGTTTTCAAAGTTTCATATTAATGTATTCAAGGGAACGTAATGAAATTACAAGGTGAGAAATCAGCAGATCATCCAAGGCCAGATTTTGACTGACTGACTGCTTTGCGTAGCTACCGTGGCACAGAATTTCAGAAGTGGTCAGTATTTTTAATTCTCACGCAAGGAAACAAGAAGGTGTAATCCTTCCCTGTGCTTTCTGGTAAACTAAAACTATACTAAATCTTGCTGCAGCTACAACCACAAAAACAATGCTGCATCTAGCATTTCCTGTGGGAGAAAACAAAATTTAGCCCTTTCAGAGCTGTTCAAGAACTTCCCTCTGACAAAGTCCTGATGTTGCTGCTGTTTTCCGCTCAAACCCTTCTGTGATTTGCATCAGTGAGATTTTGGGGTGCACTTTTTTTTTGGTTGCAAGTAAGAAATGTTCTCAGCTAGGAATGTCTTGTGGTTCTGTAGACATCCCAAGGCTCCTGACAGGGAATGAGAAAAGAGCATTCCTCAAAGGCTTCCAGATTCTGGAAGCTGTGTGGATTGTGGGAAATCCACTGGAAATCAGGACTGTCTGCAAATCCTTAGTTTCTCAACCTGCCTGTCAGGCAAAGTGCCACCAGTGTCAGCTGTTGCCAAAGTCTCTGCAGCAGCAGCGTTGCCAACATGAAAGAGGCAAAAATTGGTCTTTCCCCGTCTCTTCTCCCTCATCTCCCCTGATGACAAGGTTGCTATTTTAAAAATTCATCCTTTTGGCTCTTCTGTTTGCCTTCTGTTTTTTGAAATGGGAAGGTGTGCTTTCTTCCTGTTCTAAAGCAATGACTAGGGCTAAGAACTTGCCTTTTTAAATAGTTCTCGCATGTTCAATTGAACCTGCATAACTCAATAATACCTATTCTCTCCTTTTTTAGGTAACCATCCCACTACATTGGGTATGGTCCCCAGAGGGACTTCTGCTTCTGACTCCCCAGGCAATGAATGGGAGAATTAATACAATGTCCTTCTCTCCATGGGAAAAGCCCCAAGACCATGAAAATTTGTGGAAACGCAGATACGCTGGCTAAAAATAGAGTTCGCTGAATACCATAGATTACTTTTGGTTTTGGCAATAGATACACCAGACTTCTGGTATCTGTTACGCTCCTTGCGTTTACACAAGTCGTCGTCAGAGCATTTATTCAGGATGCTAAAGATGATGCCTCTGTTTCCTCCCTGCCTATGGGGTTCCTACTGGTAGAGTCTCAACTACCAAACTACTGAGGTTCTGGTTTCTAGCAGTTGGTTATTTAATTATTTATACAAAGTGGAAACATTTTAAGAGATGAAATCTAGAATTATCTCCCCTTCAGGTAAAGGACAGATATAGTAGTATTGCAGAAGCAGGAAATACAGGGTAGGATCCCTTGGAACTGATGAAGAAATTGTCTTAGTACGTCCCGCAGCCCAGGAGAGAGTGTGGCTCTTGGAGCTGCATTGCTATCAGGTAGATGAAATATAATTTGTGTACACTTACATACACTGTAAAACATGACACTGGCACAGTCTGCATGCCTGGAAGTATGAGGATTAGCCCCACCTAGTCTGCTTTTGGACGGGTTGTGTTTCACTTAGATTTTGGTGGCTGTTGCTAACGTGGTCAGTTCTGCCAGAAAAGACAGAGGTCCTGATGAACAGTAACTTAAAAACTGGAAAATAAGTCAATTAAGACACAAGAAATCTTACAGTAAGTGTTACGGTTCTTTCAGCTTTAGTTTGCTGTGCAAAGAGTTAAACAGTTCAAAGGCAGTTTCCTTTGGAGAATGTTTATTTGATCAAGTTCAGTGTGGCTTAGACCCCAAACAGAAATACTAGCTTCAAACAGAGCACTACTATGAAAGCAGGAATAGTCTGTGGCCTTCCAGACCTCACAAGCTATGTTGGTTTGTTACACAGAGTCAAAACAAAGATGTCCCTTAAAATACATATACATTAACTCAGTCTATTTCACACACCACAATCTTTTTATCTCAGATCTGCTTTTCTCCCCAGTCACTGGGGCTGTGCCAAAGTCGCCGAGATCCTGCATGAGCTATAGACTCCTCGGGGGGGAAAGCACATATGGTCTGATTGGACCATCTGAGCTACTTAGATCATTAGAGAACAGGCTTTGAGCACTACTGCTTCTGTTTACTAAGCTCTAAGTACTACATCTTTCGGATTTTGGAACAGTGCTTACCTTTGCTCCTTGATTCTCTTCACATTGCAGAAAGCAGGGTGAGAAAGAACCCAGCAGGCGCTTCTCTTTTGAATGGAGCCTGGAAGATCTTGTTACCTGAGGGCTGTTCGGGTTTTTTTGGTTTTCTCAGGTCCTTAGCTGGCTGAATCTTCAGACTTCTAGTAAGTGCGCTAAGCATTAAAAAAGCATTATTAATACGTGATGAGATACGCCAAGTTCAACCACTTAATGTAACAGTAAAACCCATGCAGATGCTATTAGTACAGGAATCTGATACCGTGCCAAATCTGGAGAGTTACCTTTGATCTATCTCCAGATCCTCGTTTTATTTGTAAACATCCAGCTAATCACAGACTTCCTCTGACTTTTATTAAGTGGAAGAAACTGCATCCTTTGTAACATCTCTGAAGGGCTTTAACGTTGCAGCTGCTCAGGGGTTTGTGTGCTGGGGAGGTATGGGCTCCATCTGGTGGCTAACGGGAAAGGTGCGTGTTTCTGTTAAAAAAGCTCAAACGTTTCCACAGTTGAGCAGAGTTTACTGTGTGAAGAGTGAAGCAGATCCTCTTGCAGCGGTGCATTGCTAAATCAGCTTCTGTTTTTAGGGTAGCTAGAGGATTTTAGAGTCTGGGAGGAGGGCACAACATTTTACCTCTAATCTAGCTTACTGTGGGCTAAAAGCTATTACTAATGCCAGCAGTTCTCTGGTGTTCACCGTTCTGTATGTACACCACACCACCACAGTTGGCACTGATTAACAGTATTTTTGCAGTCTCATCGGAAAAATGTAATTTAATACACACAGGCAACCCACCTTCCCACACTCAGAGGTGGTCCCACACAGCATAGGCGGTGTATTTGAGGGTGGCAGTGTAAAGAAGCTCAGTCATGCTGCGTGAGCTGTGTATGATCTGTAAATAAGAGAGATCTTTAACTGTAAAATGCAAGCTGGCATCTTAATAAACAGCAGTGTTAAACACTAATGTTGCCTAGGGAAAAAAAATGTTCACGTGCATACTGTAGTTAGAAGACCTTTTTTTCTCCTTTGTTAGTTTACAAACAAAGGCATTTCGTGACTTGAGCCAGTCAAATAAGAGCTACTTTGAGATAACAGCATCAGTCCAATGAATTCCCCTCCAAGGTCTGAAGAATGTAATTAGGGAGACACATGGACTTGCTGCTACAACCAGCAGTACTTTGAAGCCAGAAGTTTGGCCAAGACCTGCTTCCCCATGTTCACATCGCCCTCCTGGCATGAAACAAAAGCCATTTGTCCTAGATTGCTTTTTTGCCCACCATCAAGTCTGTGACGTGGCACAGAGGCAGATACACAGGCATTTCTGGGCCTGGCAGATGTGGTGAGGGCCTCACCGCTTGTCACACGGGGCATCCTATAATGTGCACAGAGGTGTGCAGCACCTCTCTCGAGGCTTTTCTCTCAAAGGTGTGCCAGGAGATTCAGCCCTGAGCTGGCCTTGAGGATGCTCTAGCAGGTAAGTAATGCAGACAGCTGATAAATCTGGCTTCACGTGCAGCCTTGGAGCCTTTCCTGCTCTGCAGTGCAGACACAACCACTTGGTCCAGGGCTGCCTTAGTGTGTACAGAAACATCAAGTGTGAATTAGCCAGAAGCGGGACAATTGTATACTTTGTACAATGTGATTTACATATCCAGAGAAAGAAGTCAGTCTACCAAGAAAAAAAACCCTGAGGATTGTCTTTAAAAGTTACATCCACATGTTCCCAATTTCTTGACTGTTCGTGTCGGATACAAAGCTGCTCATATTTGTCATAAATTAGTTTGGGTGAAAGAGACTTACAAGAATTGTAAATATTTATAAAATTGATCTGCATTTAACCTAAAATAAGAAGTTGGGGAGTGGGGTTAAGTAAATATGTAATAGTTACCTCTGCGTCAGGCAAGGGAAAAAACCCAACAAAAGACAGAGGCAAACACAGAGCAGTAAGAAGTATTCCAGGGTGGGGGTGTTCCAAGCTATGAGAAGTCCAGGCTGAGAGGAAATCATACTCGTGCAATTTTTTGAGCATCCACTGTGCCAAGCCATAAACCACTGCTGGAAAGTAACACATACAGTATCAAAAATAACTTCTGGGAGGCTTGGGAAGCTAAGTTTTTCTTCAGCAAATCTTTTAACTGTTTTGACAAGGGAAGGCAAAGGAGAAAGAAAGAAACAAAAGTTTCTGAAACGAGATCAAAACATTGTTTAAGGTTGTGTTTTGGTGGGGTATGCACTGAGAGAAATGAACCGTGTGGCTTTTAAACGGAGTTCCTGACTGTGGTGGGTGCTCTGAATATAACTGAAGGATGGGTATTTAGAGCAAAACCACACCATAGCGAGGTGGGAGGGACCACATCATGCTAGCAAATATAGTTCTGGCGTGTGGGCTTCTGACTTTTAATATTTTTCTTGCATTTCTTTTCTGCATGGCAGTAGTGAAATAGGGACTTCTAAGCTTCTGAACAACTGAGAGAACCAGGTTTGAAGAAGACATGAGGACGAACTGGTCGGCAAAAGATTTCATAAAAACTCAGAACCGCGTGTGCCAGATCTGAATTGGCACCACCTTTGCTTTTTGACATACTGCAGCAGTCGCAAAAGGCACCAAAGCACTCAAATTAGAACATGCAGTAAAAGTTGTTCTGGACTCTTCTCTGTATTATAAAACTTACTTCCTTGTGACTATTATTTACACCTGTTAAAGACAGATTTGCAGTCTCCTTTCATGGAGCAGACAGGCAAAAGAGGCAGATGCCAGGTGTTAAGGCCTGCACTGAAATGGGTTTGTGGAATTTGCTGTTCACATGCTGGAGTGCTCCTTTTCTAAAATGAGGCTTCTTAGAGTTTGTCAAAAACTGTTTAGATTTTTTAGTTCAAACATTATAAGTGTAACTTATGTATTTTCAGACAGTTACAATGCTAAACTATCAAGTGTTGAGAAAAAAAAAATTAATCTGGAGTACAAGGTGAAAGAAAAAATCTTAAAAACTGAGGACAGAGGGTCCCTGAGGAAGGACAGGATGGTGAGAAAGATCCAGCTGACCTGATTCCCCCTGCTGCCGTGATCATCATTTGCAAGCTGAAGAGGACCTTCCATGGAGCACAGTGCTTGTATGTGGAGAGTAAAGAAATGGTGTTCTGGTCTTATTACAAGAATGGTGAAAAATGTTTACCAACAAGGAGAAGAGTAAATGCGAAATATTCTTCACAGGGCACAGGGTGCACCTTGTTCTGGATGTAAGCCTTGCAAAAGCTGGCTTGAAGAGGAGAATCAGGCATTCATGTTCAGATTTGAGCATTTTAGGAATCCAATGTTTCCAGCTAAATTAATGGGGGGAAAAAAAAACCTAACCAAAAAAACAAGGTAGTAAATGTTTCAAATCAGGGCCAGCATGGATGAAAAAAATACTCATTTCTTTTTCTTCCGAGACAACAGAGGATCAGATGGAGACCTGTAAGCAGACTAAACATGCTGATCTATATTCTGCTGTAGTTAACGCATCTCACTAATTCTACTCGTGACTATAAAGGGATGTTTCATTGTTCAGTATAACTGTTATCTTAAGAAGAGTCTGTCTATAATTTTATTTATAATTGACATCATTTTCATTATTGTTGTTATGAAGTGTGTAAAATACTGTCTGTATTGCAGCTTGTACAGGGCATGTGTCTGTGCTTGCTTCACTCTTTTTGAGTTTGTAAAATTGCTATACAAATGCAAGAAAAGATGTTCAGATATCTTTGAATGTAGTTGCTAAATCTAATTACATAGCCCCAAACATTTCAGCATATAGATGTTGAAGGTGTCGGCTCTGTCCCAGTGGCTGTGCTGGAACAAAGGGGAAGATGGTGAATATCTGGGCAAAGCCAGATACCACTGGGGGCTCTGCAGGGGGAAGGCACAATACAACTGGGAAATCTAATAGAAAATGGGATGTCCTTTACATAGGGAACAGGAAGGACCTTCACAGTAGAACCACCCCGAAGCAGAGGAGAGGAGGGAAATATGTTTATAACATCACCTAAAGACAGGCCTTCAATATTATACTAAACGTAGGACATCTAGAACAGGCTGTGACTGTTCTGTAACTTAGCAATTATTTGTAGTCTATGTAGAGTATCAGTGAAGACATTCCAGGCTAGTTTTCATCATCTTTAAAGCTTATTCTGTGCTTTGATACAGTATCTTTAATAAAATATTCTTACAAATCTGTTTATTATTCTCATTTAATTCCATCTTATACCCGAGTTAACAACAGTCCGGCAACAGCATGACGTTCCAGTTACCACCTGCTTCATCTGTTCCTGTGTTTTTCCCATTCACCTGCTAAGAATGACAGAGGGAAAACTGAGATGAGTAAAAATGAAATAATAGTAGGAATGAGAAATTTATAGGACTGCTACAGTTCAATTATTATAAAAATTCTTCACACTAAGCATTTCAGTGAATCTGAGAGATCAATCAAATTATATTTATCTCTGAGTATGAAGTATTGGTCTTTGCTGCCTGTGTTTACAGTACACAATTTCCCTTGTTTAAGACTTACCGTCGTTTTCCAGCTTTACAGTTACTGCCAATAATTACAGAATGTTGCTTAACCCCATTCACAGCAGTTCTAGACAAAATTTTCTGTTCTCATTTATTCACCCCCTGGACCATATAGAGTATCCTTTTAATATCTTCAAACAAGACCAAGCAGAGTTTGACTTCAAGTATACTAGAAGATAAGATTAGAATTCAAAATAATTCTGGCAAGGTGCAGACATGATCTGAAAATGTAAGATGTTACTTAGCAGGAACAAGTGCAAGCTGGAATCATTAGCTGTGCAAGTAAAGGAACAGCTGCTTAATTGCAAGTGAAAAGAACTGATGTGTTATTTTGGATGAAATTCTGAAAATTAGTCTGCAACATCATGCTGTTGCAAATAAAGGTAAAGACTGAAACGTCTAGACTGGAGTATAACCTGGTCCTTCAGAACTGCTAAAGTGTGAGCCAGTAATGTCTCCAGTTTTGATCATGGCAGTTGAAAAAGAAGATACAAGTTGCACGCAGAGAATCCAGGAAGAAGCAATGAGAATGTCTAGAAGCTGAGAAAATTTTGCCTTTGAGCACAAATTGAATGATTTTAGGTCATCTTACAGAAGAGATGGTAGAGTGGAAATACGATGATTTTCACAGATATAAAAGCTGGTTGCAAAGAAAAATGGAGTAACATTTTCTTATATCCACAATCAATAGGAATAGAAATAATTGCCTTAAATTGCATGAAAGGAGATTTTGGTTGGACACAAAATCACACTAAATGACCTGCTGAGGTTCTTTTCTGATCTGATTCTATGATCACTTGCAAACTACCTGCTTTAAAATCCCTTACTTATTACTGTGGAGCTGGCACTGGCTGGAAGAAAAGGAGGCTGCAGTTACAGGGAAGTAAAGAACTGACTGCCTAAAATGTACAGCGCACCAGTTTATCTAGTTAGCACTAGTGATACTAAACTCGGCTTTTAATCATGCCTCAGCAAAACTGTCAGAAGTCTATGTAAATAAATGTGCTTTAAAACCACTTAATTATAAAATAATTACTCCTTCAAACAGTAAGCATTAGTTTAATCAGTGTTGACAACTTCCATGATTTTATTGAGTCTAATCAATCTGAGGCAGCCTGTTTCTAGTTGTGAGATGGCATAATCAGCTATTTTACTTATTAAAAAAATTTGGCTCTGCAAATTACATGGAAAAATCCTAAAAGTGTAATCTGAATTTACACGAAAGATTAAGAAGCCAGAAGGTGAATAAAGCCATGTGTGTTTTTTAAACTCATAATTTTAAACTAGGTTTATAATTTCAGGAGATCTGACTCACGATTTTTGAACTTCTGGTTTGGCAATACCAAATTACTGTGCCCTATATTCTGCCATTCTGGATATTTCCATATTACTGATCATGCATTTGCGTAATTCGCCAAAAACACGCTATACTGATTTGCAGAACTTAATTTTGTTTTTGTGAATAACAAAGGAACACTTATTTAAGAAAGATCGTGTATTGTGGCTGCCTTTCAAATGAACAAGGAGCATCTCTGTGTGAAAGCGGAGGTATATAAAAACAAAATAATGCAAAAAATTACAAAGTTCCCCCCACATGCACTGTGATTTTTAACACAACAGCACCTTGCTGGTAGAATCTGTTGGCATTTCATACACTGGTAGTTCTTGTCGGAATTCTAATTACTAGACATACATTTCACAAACAAATGAGATGAATTTCAGTGATGAAAAGGTGTTATGACAAAGTAGTATTTGTTCTTAGAACAGCTGTTGCTTATACTTCTCCAGACTCATTGCTGTATTATAAAATCATTTATCCTCACCAATACATTCTGATTTATGCAATTTTCTGGATAGTTTTACTAGGGAAATGGAAACTCGGGAAACAGATACCAGAATTTAAGGTCCTGAGCAGACCATTGCATTTCAATTCTGTCATTTTAATGATCCAAGTGGCTGATGTCTGTTGAACTGTAACTTGTGTTCACTCCTGTTTTTATACTATGTTGCCTTATGAAATATGTGTGTGGGGGGGAAAATCTTCCTTTTATCATGATAAAGATAAGGGTTGAGATCTCAGTTCTGCTCCAGATACTGAGCTCTTGCTTCACCAAAGAAATCTAAATATCTTCACTTCTGGCTGGGTGGTGTAAAGGAGAATAGCCTACAGCATACGGCATAATGCTGCCAAACAGGAGACATGGGTGCATGATCGATCCTAAACACAAATAAATAGATCAGAAAGAGGCCTGCTACTTCCAGACACGCTGACGTGCTGTTCTGGAAGTTACTCAGAAAATACAGCTTAGCGATTCAGGCTTAGCAATTCAAGCGAATGTTTTGTTAAAGGGAAAATCAAACCTGTGCTGAAGTCCTCACCATAAAGCTCACTCTTTAATTTCTGAACCAGTCTGTTCAGCTCACCTATAACATGACTGCATATGAAGCAACATAAAAGAAATTCATGTAGCTCTTCCCATAGGAGAGGATGACTGCATAGATGAGTTGGTTCACAAATTGTGTTGCAAGTCTTAGAGAACTGCTGACAAAAAGCAGGCTTCTGCTGAGAAGAGAGAAAAAGTCTAATGAGGTTTCAGAGTTTGCTCCCTCCAGTTAGACTGGACTTTCTCAAAGGACATCGGTAAGAAAGGAGAGACGATGGCAAGAACAGCATGTGAACTTCTGATTAGGAACAAAAACTCAAAAAGCAGCTCAGACCTATACATACCGTCGTACAAGAAGAAAATAGCACTTATGTGCTCAGCTAGAAAAGAAATACTTCTGCAACAGGCTAAATGAAATATTTGGTAGCCTGAGTCTACAGACCTTTGGATTTTTCCTGAGAATGTCCACAACTGTGTCATTTACACCATTAAAATGGTATGCTCATAGATTCCTCCAAGATCTTTTCCCCAAATTTACTACAGCAAAACAACAATTCAAATGATGAAATAAATAGGGAGTACTAGTACTATATAAATAGGGAGTACCATTGAACTAGATGATCTCCAGAGGTCCCTTCCAACCCCTACCATTCTATAATTCTATACTATCAGGGTAAGCAGTAATCCAGTCAATGCCAACACCTCTTTAGCAGGTTATCGGCACAACCATAGCAGGGCCTTACTAGTTACTGGGCCAAAGAAACTCCAGACAAGTTTTGTTGTGAGCTGTTGTACATATTTTGTGCCTGGGCTGATAAAACATACAGCTAAAAGCTTTGGACCAAATTAATGAAATGTTACTTCTAAATCTGACAAAACCTGTTTCAGTACAGCTACACTTAAAAGAGATATCAAATTAATTTCACTGTAGACTGCTTATTGTGCTAATGAGTATTGTTATGTTAGTTCTTGGTCCGTTTGTTCTCTCCATCTCCTGTTTCTGTACATCTGTTTTTGAGGCAGGAATCCTCTTTTTACTCGGAAATAGCAGGATGTGAGTTTGTACTGCAGCTACCAAAACAGGGTTCTCGTCTACTACTACTGCTCCTAAGGGACAGTCCTCACAAGGATACAAATAACATCAACTTTTCAGCTGAAACCGAATTTATCAACCAAC